TCTTCTTATGAGGACACTAATCATTGGATAAGGGCCCCACCCTTATGACCTCATTTAGCCTTAATTAGTGGTCTCATCTCTGAATACAGCCACTTCATTAGAGGTCTTATCTCTGAATACAGCCACACTGTAGGGAGTGGGGTTTGGGCATATGAATTGGAGGCTGGGGGAAGGGCTCATAAACTTTCAGTCTGTAACCATCAGTAAAGACTGACATCATAGAGTTGAGTAACTGAACTTTTCTGAGTACAGCTCTCTGGTTTTCTATCGTGTAGTCTAACAGTTTTTCTTCTTCCAGACTCTCCCTGTTTTCATTCTCTTTTCAAAGAGGAAAAGCAAATGACGCTTTATCCTCAGCCTTAGAGCCCTAGGAAAACCATCCCAGTACTCGGAGTTTGCTTTGGAAGTGACTCACCACGCACCTTGTTTGGCGAGTCCTAAATCATGGTTTCCGGGTCCCAAAAGTTCATTTTCCATGTGTCACTTAGAGATTTTGAGGTCAGGTGTTTGGGTCTGTGAGACCAAAATGATCTACAACCCAGTAGTGAATAATCGTATGGGTCAGTCTTCCATATCCCAGTTTCAAGTATAATGTATTATTTTTTAGTCCATTGACATAATGAAGGCCATTAGTATGCTGACCCCACTAATTCGGCAATCTGTTTAGGAAATAATGAAGGTGAGAACAACTTACTATTCCTGAGCCAGCCAGTATTTTGGATGGGAGTTTATGGGCATTTCCTTTGTGAAATGTGTGGTGTGATTTAAGCTTACAAAATGGAGAGCGCTTGACGGAACATTTCTCGGGAGGCACCTTTTATTTGGCAAATAGTTATTGATTTCAGAGCGTTTCCCTGTTTCAAAGTGTGACTGTGCATTTTTGGTAATTTTACCTTCTAGAGTTCCAACTCTACCATTGTTTTCAGCTCTGCACAAAACACAGAATTAAGGTGTCACAATATTGTGAGTCTTGCCACCTGCTTAGAAGCTTTGTTTCTGATAGAAAGTCTACTTAAAGCTTGCCTACTGGAATAAAATCGTATTTTCTCTTTAGAGCTGTGAAATTTTCCCTTTCTTCTCATTTACAAAGGCTTTCTATTTATTCATATTACCTGAGAATAAGAAATTATTGATATCATTACAGTCAATGAATGCTCGATAAATATTGGATCAAAATTTTTGCAGTTTCCACCTTCATATCAAATAATTGAATTATAGAATTGTATTGCTAGAAATGTTGTTATAATTCACCAGTCAAGCTTTTTTCTCCTAGATGTCTTGGAAGAAATTATTTTCCTATTTACTTTAAATAATAACTAACATTTGTTTGAATGTTTGAGTGTTCACTATGTGACAAATACTCTTCTAAGTGCTCTTCATTAATTATTCCAGTTAATTTTATAACAGCAGTGTTGTAAAAGAATGGAATTTATGTTTAAGACAGCCTTGAGTTTGACTTCCTGTATAGTAGAAAACCATGTGGAAAGTGGGTCTGTCCCTTGATCCTCTCTCCACTGATTCCCGCAATTAGGTAAGGCACTTTCAAGATGCCTTCTCCTCAGGGCCTCACATACCCTCACTGTTTTACCAGTTTCCAAGGAAACCTGATTGGAAAATAAAACATGCCACCTTTGTCAGAGAGAATATTTTTAATGTTTCAATAATGAAAGAGGAGGGAGGTAGGAGGAGAAGCAGATAGTTCCTTGTTTAAAAATGATGCTGTTTCTGTTGTGCATATTCTTCTCATGGGTCTCTCTTGGCCTTTGAACACTGAATGCTAGAGTCTGAAAATAACCCATCTCCTGTTTCAGTTCTTGCTAAAGTTAGCCCCAGGAAAGTTTATTGTTGTAAAGGGCTTAATCTATCTTCTACAATATCCCCCAGATATCCATTGTAGAAGTAGCCAGTGTAAGATTCTCCACAATTATAGGAATCGGGGGTGACATGAGCAATGAAGTGCTGACATAAAATCACAAGCCCTCATTTTGGCGATAGTGCACTTGGTTGCCACCTCCTCATACATGAACCTAGGCTAAACCACTGTACTTCTTTCTTGGACAGAGATGCTAAAGAACAAGTCTTTCTTCCTAACTTGTATTTGAGGTCCTGATGTTCATTGATGACTTGGCCCCTACATTTCATTTTTAAATTTGTACCTAGGAACTTGGAGATGTTACACAATGAGCTAAAGGAGAGAAGAGAGCATCTCAGTGAGCCCTGCTCTCCACACACCCCCAGATCTGCCCTTTATTTCCTCTTCAAGGCTGCTGTGGATGTTATATGACTCTGAGAAAAGGAAAAAATACATTCCGATTTTTCCTTTTTTTTTTTTTTTGAAGTTCAATGTTTATTGAAAACCAGCTCTACTGCTAAATTTTTTTATCATTATCCTTTAAGTTCTGGGATACATATGCAGAACACGCAGGTTTGTTACATAAATATACATGTGTCTTGGTGGTTTGTTGCACCCATCAACCCGTCATCTACATTAGGTACTTCTCCTAATGCTATCCCTCCCATAGCATGCCCCACTCCCCACCACCGATAGGCCCCAGTGTATTATGTTCCCCTCCCTGTGTCCATGTGTTCTCATTGTTCAATACCCACTTATGAGTGAGAACATGAAGTGTTTTGATTTTCTGTTCTTGTGTTACTTTACTGAGAATGATGGTTTCCAGCTTTATCCATGTCCCTGCAAATGACATGAATGCATCCTTTTTATGGCTGCATAGTATTCCATGGTGCATATGTGTCACATTTTCTTTATTCAGTCTATCATTGATGGACATTTGGGTTGATTCCAAGTCTTTGCTATTGTGAACAGTGCTGCAGTAAACATACATGTGCCTGTGTCTTTATGATAGAATGGTTTATAATCCCTCGGGTATATAACCCATAATGGAACTGCTGGGTCAAATGGTATTTCTAATTCTACATCCCTGAGGAATCGCCACACTCTTTCACAATGGTTGAATTAAGTTACACTCCCACCAACTGTGTAAAAGTGTTCCTATTTCTCCACAGCCTCTCCAGCATCTGTTGTCTCCTAACTTTTTAATGACCACCATTCTAACTGACATGAAATGCTAACTCATTGTGGTTTCGATTTTCATTTCTCTAATGCCCAGTGATGATGAGCATTTTTTTTCATGTTTCTTGGCTGCATAAGTGTCTCCTTTTGAGAAGTGTCTGTTCATATCCTTCACCCACTTTTTGATGGGGTTGTTTTTTTCTTGTAAACTTGTTTAAGTTCCCTGTAGAATCTTGATTTTAGCCCTTTGTTGGATGGATAGATTGCAAAAGTTTTCTCCCATTCTGTAGGCTGCCTGTTCACACTGGCGATAGTTTCTTTTGCTGTGCAGAAGCTCTTTAGTTTAATTAGATCCCATTTGTCAATTTTGGCTTTTGTTGCCATTGCTTTTGGTGTTTTAGTCATGAAGTCTTTGCCATTGCCTATATATCCTGAATGGTATTGCCTAGGTTTTCTTCTAGGGTTTTTATGGTTTTGGGTCTTGCGTTTAACTCTTTAGCCCATCTTGAGTTAATTTTTATATAAGGTGTAAGGCAAGGATCCAGTTTCAGCTTTCTGCATATGGCTAGCCAGTTTTCCAACACCATTTATTAAAAAGGGAATCCTTTCCCCATTGCTTTTTTTTTTGTCAACTTTGTCAAAGATCAGATGGTTGTAGATGTATGGCATTATTTCTGAGGCCTCTGTCCTATTCCATTGGTCTATATCTCTGTTTTCATACACGTACCATGCTGTTTTGATTACTGTAGCCTTGTCGTATAGTTTGAATTAGGGTGGTATGATGCCTCCAGCTTTTTGTTGTTGTTTGTTTTGTTTTGTTTTTGTTTGTTTTTTGCTTAGGGTACTCTTAGCTATCTGGGCTCTTTTTTGGTTCCATGTAAAATTTAAGGTGTTTTTTTCCAATTCTGAGAAGAAAGTCAATGGTAGCTTGATGGGGATACCATTGAATCTATAAATTACTTTAGGAAGTATGGCCATTTTCACAATATTGATTCTTCCTAATCATGAGCATGGCGTGATATTCTATTTGTGTCCTCTCTTATTTCCTTGAGCAGTGGTTTGTAGTTCTCCTTGAAGAGGTCCTTTACTCTCTTGTTAGTTGTATTCCAAATCATGAGTGAACTCCCATTCATAATTTCTAGGAATTGTGAATGGGAGTTCACTCATGATTTGGCTCTCTGTCTCTTATTGGTGTATAGGAATGCTTGTGATTTTTGCACATTCGTTTTGTATCCTGAGACTTTACTGAATTTGCTTATTAGCTTAAGGAGATTTTGGGCTGATGAGGTGTTCTAAGTATACAATCATGTCATCTGCAAATAGAGACAATTTGGCTTCTTCTTTTCTAACTGAATACTCTTTATTTCTTTTTCTTGCCTGATTGTCCTGGCCAGAACTTCCAATACTATGTTGAATAGGAGTGGGGAGAGAGGGCATCCTTGTCTAGTGCCAGTTTTCAAACGGAATGCTTCCAGCTTTGGGCCATTCAGTATATTGGCTGTGGGTTTTTCATAAATAGCTCTTATTATTTTGAGATATGTTCCACTGATACCTAGTTTATTGAAAGTTTTTAGTATAAAGGGGTGTTGAATTTTGTGAAAGGCCTTCTCTGCATCTATTGAGATAATCATGTGTTTTTTGTCTTTGGTTCTGTTTATGTGATGGATTATGTTTATAGATTTGCATAGTTTGAACCAACCTTGCATCCCAGGGATGAAGCTGACTTGATGGTGATGGATAAGGTTTTTGATGTGCGATTGAATTCTGTTTGCAAGCATTTTATTGAGGATTTTCACATTGATCTTCATCAGGGATATTGACTTGAAATTTTCTTTTTTTTTTTTTCTGTGTCTCTGCTAGGTTTTAGTATCAGGATGATGTTGGCCTCATAAAATGAATTAGTCCCTCTCTTTCTATTACTTGGAATAGTTTCAGAAGGTATGGTACCAGCTCTTCTTTGTACCTCTGGTAGAATTCTGCTGTGAACCTGTCTGGTCCTGGACTTCTTTTGGTTGGTAGGCTATTAATTGCTGCCTCAATTTCAGAACTAGTTATTGGTCTATTCAGGGATTTAACTTCTTCCTAGTTTAGTCTTGGAAGGGCATAAGTGTCCAGGAATTTATCCATTTCTTCTAGATTTTCTGGTTTATTTATGTAGAGGTGTTTATAGTATTCTCTGATGGTAGTTTGTATTCCTGTGGAATCAATCATGATATCCCCTTTACCATTTTTTTATTGCATCTATTTGATTCTTCTCTCTTTTCTCTTTTATTAGTCTGGCTAGTGATCTATCTATTTGTTGATCTTTTCAGAAAAACAGATCCTGGATTCATTGATTTTTTGAAGGGTTTTTTGTGTCTATCTCCTTCAGTTCTGCTCTGATCTTAGTTATTTCTTGTCTTCTGTTAGCTTTTGAATTTGTTTGTTCTTGCTTCTCTAGTTCTATTAATTGTGACATTAGGGTGTTGATTTTAGATCTTTCCTGCTTTCTCTTGTGGGTATTTAGTGCTATAAATTTCTCTCTACACACTGCTTTAAATGTGTCCCAGAGATTCTAGTATACTGTGTCTTCATTCTCACTGGTTTCAAGGAACATCTTTATTTCTGCCTTCATTATTTATCCAGTAATCATTCAGGAGCAGGCTGTTCAGTTTCCACATAGCTGTATGGTTTTAAGTGATTTTCTTAATCCTGAGTTCTATTTGATTGTACTGTAGTCTGAGAGACTGTTATGATTTCCATTCTTTTGCATTTGGTGTGGAGTCTTTTACTTCCCATTATGTGATCAATTTTAGAATAGTGTGATGTGGTACTAAGAAAAATGTATATTCTGTTGATTGGGGGTGGAGAGTTCTGTAGATGTCTATTCAATCTGCTTGGTCCAGAGCTAAGTTCATGTCCTGGATATCCTTGTTAATTTTCTGTCTTGTTGGTCTACCTAATATTGACAGTGGAGTGTTAAAGTCTCCCACTATTATTGTGTGGGAGTCTAAGTCTCTTTGTAGGTCTCTTAGAACTTGCTTTATGAATCTGGGTGCTCCTGTATTGGGTGCATATGTATTAAGGATCGTTAACTCTTCTTGTTGCATTGATCCCTTTCCCGTTATGTAATGCCCTTATCTCCTTTGATCTTTGTTGGTTTAAAGTCTGTTTTATCAGAGACTAGGTTGCAACCTCTGCTTTTTTTTTGTCTTTTCGTTTTCTTCATAAATCTTCCTCCATCCCTTTATTTTGAGCCTATGTGTGTCTTTGCATTTGAGATGGGTCTCCTGAATACAGCATACTGATGGGTCTTGGCTCTTTATCCAATTTGCCAATCTGTGTCTCTTAACTGGGGCATTTTGCCTATTTACATTTAAGGTTAATATTGTTATGTGTGAATTTGATCCTGCCATTATGATGCTAGCTGGTTATTTTGCTCATTAGTTGATGCAGTTTCTTCATAGCATCAATGGTCTTTACAATTTATTATGTTTTTGCAGTGGCTGGTACCAGTCGCTCCTTTCCATGTTTAGTGCTTCCTTTAGGAGCTCTTGTAAGGCAGGGCTGGTGGTAACAAAATCTCTCAGCAGTTGTTTTTCCATAAAGTATTTTATTTCTCCTTTGCCTATGAAGCTTAGTCTGGCTGGATATTAAATTCCATGTTGAAAATTTTTTTTTTTAATAGTTTTGAATGTTGGCCCCCACTCTATTCTTGCTTGTCGAGTTTCTCCAGAGATCTGCTGTGAGTCTGATGGGCTTCCCTTTGTGGCTAACCCAACCTTTCTCTCCTAGCTGCCCTGAGCATTTTTTTTCCTTCATTTCAACCCTGGTGAATCTGACAATTATGTGTCTTGGGGTTGCTGTTCTCAAGGAGTATCTTTGTGGTAGTCTTTGTATTTCCTGAATTTGAACGTCAGCCTGCCTTGCTAGGTTGGGGACGTTCTCTTGGATAATATTCTGAAGAGTGTTTTCCAACTTGGTTTCATTCTCCCCATCACTTTCAGGTATACCAATCAAAGGTAGATTTGTTCTTTTCACATAATCCCGTATTTCTTGGAGGCTTTGTTCATTTCTTTTCACTCTTTTTTCTCTAATCTTGTCTTCTGTTTTATTTCATTGAGTTGATCTTCAATCTCTGATACCCTTTCTTCTGCTTGATCAATTCAGCTACTGAAACTTTTATATGCTTCATGAAGTTCTCATGCTGTGTTTTTCAGCTCCATTGGGTTGTTTATATTCTTCTCGATGCTGTTTATTCTAGTTAGCATTTAGTCTAACCTTTTTTCTAGGTTCTTAGCTTCCTTGCATTGGGTTAGAACATGCTCCTTTAGCTTGGAAAAGTTTGTTATTGCCCACCTTCTGAAGCCTGCTTCTGTCAATTCATCAAACTCATTCTCCATCCAATTTTGTTCCCTTGCTGGTGAGGAGTTGTGATCCCTTGGAGGAAAAGCAGCATTCTGGTTTTGGGAATTTTCAGCCTTTTTGCACTGGTTTCTTGCTATCTTCATGGATTTATCTACCTTTAGTCTTTGAAGTCAGTGACCTTTGGATGGGGTCTATGAGCGGATGTCCTTTCTGTTGATGTTGAAACTATTTCTTTCTGTTAGTTTTCCTTCTAACAGACAGGCCCCTCTGCTGCAGGTCTGCTGGAGTTTTCTGGAGGTCCACTCCAGACTCTGCTTGCCTGTAAATCACCAGCAGGGGCTGCAGAACAGCAAAGATTGCTGCCTGGTCCTTCCACTGATAGCTTTGTCCCCAAAGGCTACCCACCAGATGCCAGCCAGAGCTCTCCTCTATGAGGTGTCTCTCAGCCCCTACTGGGAATTATCTCCCAGTCAGGCTACATGAGGGTCAGGAAGCCACTTGAGGATGCAGTCTGTCCCATATTAGAGCTCAAATGCTGTGCTGGGGGATCCACTGCTCTCTTCAGAGCTGCCAGGCAGGAACATTTAAGTCTGCCAAAGCTGTACCCACAACCACCCCTTTTCCCAGGTGCTCGGTCCCAGGAAGGTGGGGGCTTTATTTATAAGTCCCTGAGGGGCTTTTTTCATAGATGCCCTGCCCAGTAAGGAGGGAGTCTAGTGACACAGTCTGCCTGCAGAGGCCTTGCTAAGCTGCCCTGGGCTCCCTCAGATGTTTCTTATTAGCTTTTTAAAGAAACGTGATGCCAGGCACAGTAGCTCACAACCATAATCCCAGCACTTTGGAAGGCCAAGGCAGGAGGATCACTTGAGTCCAGGAGTTTGAGACCAGCCTGGGCAACTAAGTGAGACCTTGTCTCTACAAAAAATAAAAATTAATCAGGCTTGGTGGTACATACCTGTAGTCTTAGCTATTTGGGAGGCTAAAGTGGGAGGACTGCTTGAGCCCAGGGAGATGGAGGCTGCAGTGAATTGAGATCATGCCACTGCACTCTAGGCTAGGTGACAGAATGAGACCCTGTCGGAAGGATAGAGGGAAAGAGGAAGGAAGGAAGGAAAAGGAAAGGAAGAAAGAATAGAAAAGATAGAAAGATGAAAGAAAGAAAGAAAAAATAGAGGATGGGAGAAGAGGAAGAGGGAGAGGGAGCAGGAAGGAGAGGAAAGGGAGTCATTCAGACCATTAGAAATTAGTTTTAGGCTCAAAAAAATAGAAAAAAGTCAATTAAATGCTTCATGTTTGCTATAGCTAGTTTTTATTTTAATAGGTTAACTTTATTATAAAACAAAGCTGAGAAGCCTAGTACAACTGGATGTAAAGCCCATTCCTATCTATTTTTAGGACCGATGAAGAAAGGCAGTGTGGAATAGGGGAAGATCCTTAATCTGGGAGTTAGAAGATACTCAGGGTTGGCCTGGCACTGTGATTTTTGTTCAGCAGATCACTTCATCTCAGGTTCCCTACCCATCAAATGATGGTGCTGGTCTCAAGGACAGGACCTTTCCAACTCTGAAATTCTAGAGCTCCTTTTCTTGGGGCGTAAAGCTCCTACTGTAAATGATTGCAGCCATCTATGATTGCAGCTTGTCTGTGGTGATCTATTATGGTCCATATGATTAAGTAACAAGTTCTTGTATAGGAAGGTAATCCCACGTTAAAACATCCCAGGAGACAAATAAGCTCTGACTTGCAATAACATGGTGTTTAAGGTCTGGCGAAGTCTAAAAGGCAGGAGATGCACTAGTGATTTTAAAGTCAGTGAATTATGTTTTTACATAAATATGTAAGTGCTGACATTCCATTTTGACATAGCATCATGCCACACTGAAAGGGCTTCCCAGTGATAAGAGGTGGAATTCCTAAGGGTTGAAGTGAGCAGGGAGAAAGATGTAAGATCTTCATTTCCAGGCTGAATCAAACCTCAACTGAAATTTAGGCAAATCTGGGTGATCCTCTGAGATTGCTCCTTGTGAACTGGTGATGAGATCTATTACCAGTCAATAAAACAGAACTTGAATTTGGCCTATTTTCAGATGCCTCTTGGGTTTTCACTTTAATTCTCTGATAGGAGAAATTGTGTTAAAGTGGGCTCACCTTCACCCTAGAATCTTGCTCAGTGCCCTTCACAGACAAAAATTAAGAAACTGGGTTGTCTCCAAGAAATACTTTTCTGGCTTCTGAGGCAACCTCTGAACTGGTGAATCCAGCTCAGGCCCCTCCTCCAAAGACCTGATGTTTATTTGGGGGCAAACATCTACACCAAATTCAAGTGGAAAGAGTGTTAGATGTACAGGCAAAGCTGAGTGGATTCTCATGATGCTATGAGAATCTGGACCAGCTACTGCTGCACCTCCTATTTACCAGATAAATGAAAATAGAGGCAAGTTGATTTTAGCCTTCCAGTAGGTGCTATCTGACCACTAAAACTCTTCTGTGTTCTGTAAGAGTTCTGATGGCCAAACCTCCAGATTTCAATCTCCAGTATTGATAAATGAGTCCTAGAAGGTGGTTATCCATTTGTCACCAGTTGTCACTTAGAATAACATTTATATTTTCTTTTTCTCAAGTCTATTATCATACTTTAAGTTCTGGGGTACATGTGCAGAACATACAGGTTGTTACACAGGTATACATGTGCCATGGTGGTTTTCTGCACCCATCAACCTATCATCTACATTAGATATTTCTCCTAATGCTATCCCTCACCTAACCCCACACCCACGGACCTGCCTGGTATGTGATGTTCCCTTTCCTGTGTCCATGTGTCCTCATTGTTCAACACCCACTTATGAGTGAGAACATGTGGTGTTTCAGTTTTCTGTTGTGTTTGTTTGCTGAGAATGATGGTTTCCAGCTTCATCCATGTCCCTGCAAAGGACATGAACTCATCCTTTTTTATGGCTGCATAGCATTCCATGGTGTATATGTGCCACATTTTCTTTATCCAGTCTATCATTGATGGGTATGGGTCGGTTCCAAGTCTTTGCTATTTTTATAGTAATTTATAATCCTTTGGGTATATACTCAGTAATAGGATTGCTGTGTCAAATGGTATTTCTTTCTAGTTCTGCATCCTTGAGGAATCACCACACTGTCTTCCACAATGGTTGAACTAATTTACACTCCCACCAACAGTATAAAAACGTTTCTATTTTTCCACATCCTCTCCAGCATCTGTTGTCTCCTGACTTTTTAATGATCTCTATTCTAACTGGTGTCAGATGGAATCTCATTGTGGTTTCGATTTGCATTTCTCTAATGACCAGTGATGATAAGCTTTTTTTCATATGTTTGTTGGCTGCATAAATGTCTTCTTTTGAGAATTGTCTGTTCACATCCTTCACCCACTTTTTGATGGGGTTGTTTTTTTCTTGTAAATTTAAGTTCTTTGTAGATTCTGGATATTAGCCCTTTGTTGGCTAGATTTCAAAAATTTTCTCCCATTCTGTACATCGCCTGTTAACTCTGGTGATAGTTTCTTTTGCTGTGTGGAAGCTCTTTAGTTTAATCAGATCCCCAATTTAATTGTAGACAGAGTCTCACTGTGTCAGCCAGCTGCAGTGCAGTGGCTAGATCTCAGCTCATGGCAACCTCTGTCTCCTTCAAGTGATTCTCCTGCCTCAGCCTCCTAACTGGGATTACAGGCATCTGTCATCACACTCAGCTAATTTCTGTATTTTTAGTAGAGATGGGGCTTCACCATTGTTGGCCAGGCTGGTCTCGAATTCCTGACCTCAAGTGACCCACCCACCTCAATCGCCCAAAGTACTGGGATTACAGGTGTGAGCCACCTAGCCTGGCTCTCAAGTCTTTTCAACCTGATAAAGTTACACTAAAATTTCTATTAGACCACTGAGGAATGTTAGTTTTTTTACTTAGGCCTGCCCCACCTTGTTTTACAAGATTTGAGGCTATTTACAAAAATACGTCTTCTGAAAAAGGATAAAATGAACAGTTATAACAAAATACAGCCCAGGATGAGAAAGTGCAACAGACTGGAGCACAGCGAGCACAGATCCAGCACAGTGATTGCTGGGTGCAGGTTACAAATTTGGCTCTGAACTCCCCAGTGAACAAAGCAAAGAAAGAATCATATCGATTACATGATTCCCAGTATTTCTAAGATTTTTTAGTTTCTCAGAAGAGGTCTGACTTTTCGTAGTGGTGAGATGTGAGAGCTGTTTCTTCCTTGAGTCCTCATAAAGAGAACTGCAGATCAGTTAGGATAAACTTGCACTGTAAAGAACAAAAAACTCAAAATAACAGTGGCTTGAAGATAGAATTTTTTTTTTGAGAGTGCTCTTTTTATTATCCTTGTGAGAAAGAACATATCGTGATGTGAAGTGGGCTCGTGACTTGTGCAGAACTTCCTGTAAACAGTGAGAAAACCAGTGTTCAGTCCTGCATTTTGACATCCTGTCTAGTGTTAACATGGGACTCCCTGACCTGCATTACTAAGATGTAGAGAGACCAGATTCCTGCTTCCTATATAATTTGTAGAGTGATGCCAGGCTGCTCAGCAAATGCAGTCCTAGCTTGTGGGTGCCACTGTCTGGAAGCATTGCAATCCGTCGTCAGTTTGGCATTGTCTCTCAAGTTAGTATAGGCAGTCCAGGGTTCAAATGGCCCTTGATGGGTGTCAGAAACTCAGAGCCTTGTTCCTCCACCCCATGGCCCAAGATTATCTTCTGCTCTGGCCAAAATGTCCCCTCCAGCCAGCAGGAAGGAGGGAGCAAGGATATACCCCCACCCTTTAAAGACAGATCTAGGAAGTTGTGGAGCACACTTCCAATACATCCTTTGGCCATAAGCACATCACCACACCTTGCCAAGGAAAAGGCTGAAAACTAGAGTCTTTATTCCAGGCCTAGGTAAAAGCAAGCTTTCTGTTTATCAAAGCATAAAGGCAGTACTGTCATCCCTTGGTACCCATGGGGATCCCTTTGGATCCCAAAATCCATGAATGTTCAAGGCCCTGATATAAAATGGGGTATAATTTGCATGTAACACACATATACCCTCCCATGTCCTTTAAATCATCTCTAGATTGATTAGAGTGACTAATGCAATGTAAATTCTGTGTAAATAGTTGCTACACTGTATTGCTTTTTATTTATTAAAAGTTACCTTATTGAAAATTACTTTATCCCAGTTCTGGAGGCTGGAAGTCCAAGCTCCAGCTGTTTGGCAGGGTTGCTTTCCTCGGAGGCCTCTCTCCTTGGCTTGCTGGTGCCACTGTCATGCTGTGTCCTCATCTTCCTGTGGCCTTTCCTCAGTGCACAGGAACCCCTCCTGTCTCTCCTGGGTCCTAATCTTCTAATATCAGGCAGATTCGATTAGGACCCACCCTAGTGGCCTTGTTTTAATTTAAAGATTCTATCTTGAAATTAGTCACATTCTGAAGTACTGGCAGGGGTTGCAGCTTCAATATATGAATTTTTGGTGGGGGGAAAGGAGGAAGGGGCTTGACTGCGGGAACACAATTCAGTCCATAATAGGCAGAATAGATATGTGAAGACAAGCAGTCGTCTCTTGCTACATAACCTGCCGGCATCCCTGTAACTGGATAAATATAATTCTTTGGAATCTTCTGTTCTGGCTCACCTTTTAAATCCAAGACTCCTCGAATTGAATGCAGTGCTTTGTACCTGTAGGTGCTCAGTGACTGCTTGCAGGCGATGGTGTTGACTCCCCTAGGAATCATGGGCCTGAGCAGAAACTGGAACTCAGGATTTCTGATTCTCTACCACCTACTCTGCCCAGCATGCTGCACTAGCTCTTTTAAGTTCTGACAACTAACACACCACCACCCACCACATGGGAACTTCAAGTCATATGTTTTTGTGTCAGATTTTTTCCTATCAAAGATTACAAGGCCCTAAAGCTTTGCACAATTCTAGGTCTTCTACAGAGACCCCAGCAGATATCAAACTATTTTAAGCCTTTATATGAAAAGCCATTTGACTCCTTTCTGAAGCATTGTGCTTCGTTTTGTTTTCTGTGGACTCTCTGCAGAAGTTTTTGGAGGTAAGGGCAAGTTGTCGCAAAGTCAAAGCCAGCGTACAACAACTCTAGCAAAAGTTGGAAAATCACTGCCCTCACCTCAGTGGCCTCTCCCTTGAAGCATCCAGTTTGGACAAAGATAAAATGAGCCTCAAACTTGGAACAGTATTTTTTTCTTTCACTTCTCAAACCAGCTTGCAAGCTGTCTCCCATCGAGCCACAGTGAGACTTCACTTGGCAAAGAGAATTTCACCTAAAGTATGCTGACAGCCTTGCTCCTGGGGCACCTCTCAAATCCACCCCAGGATTCTAGGCTGCTGTACTTCCCTAGAGCAGGACTTGGCCCCCAAGAGGCTGTGAAGTTTCCAGGGAGAGCCCTGTTGGCACAGCCTGAGACAGTCTCTTCTCCTAGTCCATTTCTGCCCTAGCAACAGCTACCTCCAATGCAGCTTTGGAAGCTGTACAATAGAGCTAATTGTTTGCATTGGACAGTAGTGTGTTTAGAGCTTATGCATCTAAACAGACAATTATTTTCTGCTATTTGCTAGTGGCGATGCCTGCCTGGTGACTTTGGCAGATGGAGAAAGGAGCTAATCCATAGGTTATAAGCAGAAGGGTTATTGATGAAATGTCACCATCTGTTGGTGTCATTAAAATGATATGAATCATGAAGAGTTGCTTTTGTCCCTTCTTAGAAAAATGTCAGCTTGAAGTTGAGAGACAAGTTGCTAGATTGTGGATAGTAGTGATGAACAGAGCTGCGGGAAGCATTAGTGCCAGAAGGGGGAGGAGCCTTAATGAACTCATCAGCTTGATGGGTTTTCAGGCAAGTTGACTGACCCTCTCTCCGCTGGAAAAAAAAAAATCCTCTCTCTCATGTGAGATGGAGTATTTATTAAGAAGGAGGCAATACCCCAAGGCTCCCATGCCCATTTCTGGGGCATCTGTGATTCATTTGGGTTAAATAAGAATGATCATATCTGGCAGTGAACAGACAGGAAAATATACCTGTGTCCTTAATCCACATTGGCCCCATGGCACAGAGATTATTCACATAGCCAGGTGACACCTTGGGAGGCTGGTGAGCCCAATAGGGAATAATATTCTCTACACCTGCTCTATCCACAAGGGAGAGAGGAGGTGGCATAAAAGAGGGACCAGAGGCAGCATGCCAAGCTTCCATCAAAGATGGGAGCCCTGAGGATGGAATAAAGAAAGCAATGGCTGGAGTAACATGAGAATTTCATAGCAAAGAAATAGAAGTGTGAGGTGTGCATTTAATAAGAATCCAGGGGAACAAAATAAACTGCCAGCTTCCTGATTCTGCCTTATTATTATAGCTAATCCCCTTAATTTCCTCATATTGGCTGTTTACAAATTCTTTTACCCACTGCCAAGGACATATACCCAAAGCAGAAGAACCTGTTGTTACCAACCTTTTTCAATATGGCTTGTTATCCCTTTTTTATTATCATTTTTATCATTTATTTGAAATTTTAACTCCTAGAGAGAGTTGTAGAGATTGTATAAACCACTACACATACTTTGGGCAGGAACTCAGGTTTGCCAGATAAACATGACATAGCACTGCTGTGAGCCCAGCCTCTAGTCCAGTGCTGACCTCTCCTGGAGGCCAGCTGACCTAAGCCTGCTACACCTGCCCCCTTTTCAGGGGCACAGGCACTGGAGTGGAGTGCTGTTACTGTTTGGAAAGTGTGAGGTGCTGGAAGCAAGAGCCCCAGGAGTGAGAGCTTTCTAAAGTTATTTATATGGTCTCAAAAGGAAGCATCAGTGGAAAAGTTCCCATTGATATTTTTAGATCTGATGCGTGGTCCACTGCTGCACTTTCATTTTTAAACAAGCAGGGAAGCGAGTGATTGACGATGTCTACAGTGCTGTTTTAGAAGTGCTGAGGGCCCATCTGACAGGCTAATGGTCATCCTGCTGGGCCCAGATCCTCCCCTTCGTCTCTTCCAGCTCTGACTGCAGAAGCTGCTGACTTCAGTGGCTGACAAATAAAATGCTGGCCACTGGCTGCCAAGTCAGAAATTCTGAAGTTTGTTGGCTGGCTCTGACACCTGGTGCAGGTTCAGTGTCTTGCTCGACTTCTGTCTGCTGTTTTTGAGGACTGAGGCATGTTTGCATAAGTCACCTTTGGCTACGAGTACAATGGTTTAGAATTCAACTGTGATTAAGCAGGTGAAAAACTCACAACCTGAGAAGGGGGTGTGGGGGTGAGAGGGAGAAATGAAGAGAGGTTGGTCAATGGATACAAACTTAGAAAGAAGAAATCAATTCTAATGTTTCATGGGAGACTAGGGTGACTACGGGTAGCAAAAACACACTGTATATTTCAAAGTAACTAGAAGAGAGGGCTTGGAACATTACCACATATAGAAATAATAAACACTCAAGGCGATGTAACCCCAAATACCCCAACTTGCTCATTACACCTTCAATGCATGAAAAAAAAACATGTACCCCATAAATATGTAAAATATCAATGAAAGAAAAAAAACTCACAACTACACAAAATCGACGTGCTTGACTCTTCCAAGGCCAGTGGGAAGTTAACCTCTCTTAGTAGTATTACTGAATTGTTTCTGTGGTTACTTTCATTTTCCTGATGGAAATCCGTGTTCTAAAAAACAAAGAGAGAAAGAAACATTGTTATCAGTGTTCTCCTTCCCAAGGAATCTGAATCTTGTGAATGTCTTCAAGGAAATGGGAAGATGGGGAGACGTGGTCAAGTTTTCTCTCCCACAGACACAGTTTCTCATCAGAAGGTGGTGAATGGTAGCTCACTCCAGTTGAATAATCAGTTGATGAACATGAGAAGCTGATAGTGTTCAGGGAGGGAAAAGAAAATTCTTACATGCTTATGGGTTGGCAATGTTCCTAGGGCAATTTGTTCCTAGGACTCAAACTATTACTGTTTCTTACAAACATCAAAAACCCATATATGAAGCCACCGGATTGAGTCCGGAAAAATCCTGTTAAGACACAGAGCTTCCGCCCTTGCTCTGTGCACCTGCTGTTGTGCCTGTGTATATTTCTTTTTTTTTTTTTTAATTTCATTTAATTGTACCTTTTTCTACCACAGACCACAGAGACAGCTGACGATGAGGAGGACCAGCCTCTCAGCCTTGCCTGGCCTTCCGAAACCCGCAAGCAAATCACATTTCTGATTGTTCTCCCCATAGTGTTTCCTCTCTGGATTACCTTACCTGACGTTCGCAAACCTGTAAGTAAAGCATTTTTAAAATAGTTTCCTTGTAAAATGTATGGTACATTAACAGGCTGCATCTGCTTCAATTTGTGTTGAAAGGAAAAAGGAAGTACACTTGTATAAAAATTTCACGTGTACCCCATAAATAGGTACTATTATGTAACCAAAAAAAATTTCTTTAAGGAAAAGGAGAAAGTGTATATAAGAAGATACAAATTTCTCGAGTAATCACACAGTTACTATGATTGTTCAGATTATCAAATCTGTGTAACAAACTACCCCAAAACTTACTGGTGTGAAACAACCACCATTTTAGTCTGCCCTTCAATCCTGTCGATCAGGAATTTGAATAGGGCACATTGTGGAGGGCTTATCTCTGCTCTGTAATGTCTGTGGCCTGAAGCAGGAAAACTTGAAGGGTTACTTGTATCTTGTCTTGGGGTCACAATCATCTGGAGGCTTCTTGGTTGTTTCTGGCACCTGAGCAGAAATGATTCAAAGGCTGGGCTCAGCTGGGACTGTCTACTGGAATGCCTAAACGTGGCCTTTTTGTGTGACTTGGGCTTCCTCAGAGCATGGTGGCCTCAGGGTAGTGAAATGTTTTACAGAAGAGGTCAGTCAGGACTCCAAGAGTGAATGTTGCAGTGACAGAAGACAGAAGCTGCATGGCCTGTGATGATGCCATCCCAGAAGTTACAGAGACTCACTTCTGCTCTACCTTACTGACCAAAGCAGTCATAAGTGTGTCTTGATTAAAGGAGGAGAAAACAAAGAGTTTACCTAGAATAGAACAGTGTCATATAGCATGCCACTATCCTGATGGGAAGAGTGTCAATGAATTTGCAACCATGTTTTAAAACCAGCACAGTGATCGTCTCTGAGAAAGGCCACTGAAGGTCTGAAGCAGGAAGGCTACTCACTTTTTCTGACATATTCTTGCAACTATGAACATTATTAATTAATTCAAAAAATAATTTAAAGAGATGCATTTATGTAGTATAAATGTCTACATGTCTGATGTTCTCTTTCTTATGTTACTATCATTACTTTAATCGATTTTATTATCTACCGTTATTTACTGGGTGCTCTGAACACATCAGCAAAGTACAATCTGAGTATAGACCAAATCAAAAGAATACCTCCACCCGCTGTTGTTGAAGTGAATCCTTGGGCCATTGCCCAAGAGGTAAACAAAAAAACTAATAAGAAAGAAGGAAAAGCAGCTCTACCTCTTAGTATAGCACGACATACACAAATTCATTCAATAAAACTGTATACCTACCTAATATGCATCAGATTCTGCACTAAATGTTCCCCATGAGAGTCTCATTTCTGCATAGAACAGCACACAGTATGCTTGGAAATCCAGTCTATCCCAGGGCTGGCACTTGGAGCAATGAGAGAAAGCCCCATGGCTACCCTGCCCACACTGCAGGGGCTGGCTCTCAAAGAGGGACTGCACAGGGAGGAGAGCATCAGGGACAGCTCCATTTTCCTGTTGTGTGCATCAGCCAGGGCGGTTGTTATAACCCAGGTAACATCTGCCTTGATTGAGTCCTGTTGATTTGCCAGCAGTTGCCAGTCAGGAGACTTTGATCTTCTCTAATACCTTCTTGATCTTTTAACTCAGATTGTCAAAAGGATGAACATTTTGCCAGCATTTATTCCCAAAGTCGTTTCCAACTCTGAGAGCCCAGGACCTTGAGTTATTGGCCCACAGTAAACTATACTGTGGAACTTCAGCAAACATCTAGGGTAGGAATCTGTATATTACTGGCATAAGTTGAAAGAAACTTAGGCACAAAGAAGCTAACTAATTTATACTTGGCCATTTCCCAGCAGGTAAGGCTGAGACCCAGACCCAGGTCTATGTGACCACATTGCTTGGCCTTCTCTTCATATTTTCATAATGCCAGAGGTAGAAAACTGAAAAGAAAAAAAAAAAAAGAAAAAAAAAACTTTTCTAAAAGCACTTGGAATAGAATATTTTGATAACTTCCAGCATAATTTATCTTAAGTCTCCAAGAGCTCCCTCATTTGAAAAAGACAGAAGAAAAACCCCATCCCATTCACCTGGCCCTTAAATAATGCAGCCTAGTGGAGAGCCAGGTCTTGTCAAGTAGGCAACAAGCAAGGACTACTTCTTGTAGGGACTCCCAACAGAAGAGGGTTCCTGGTAAAAGATGCATGACACAGGTGTGGCTCACTTAAAGCAATATTTAAGTTTCTTTATTCAAGATGCCATTGTAGAGCATCTGCACTATGCAAAGGCCTGTCCCTTCCTGAAAAACCCCGAGCAAACAAACAGTTGAATGTGTTTGATTTTTCTTGGCTCACACCACATTGACATTTCTGAAATACGCTTGCTTTCTCTCCTGCTCCCTCTTCTCGCCATTGCTCTGCTGTTTAGTGCAATGCTTTTGTTTGGCCCTAGGGAAGAAAATCAGGGAGTAACAGATACAGTTTTCTAAATTCCCAAAAAGGCCTCATGTGGTGTGGCCCCCAGCAGAAGGGCCAATTGCCTGATGAGAGGATGTTTGCACACAACCGTTGAGGCAGTCAGGAATATGTGCAGGAATGGGAGGAAGATGCCAGGAAGTCAAGGCCCTTGGCTCTCAGGGTTAGGAGGAACTCTCAGAGAAAGGGCTGGCAAAGTGTTCATCCTCTTGGTAATTTGAGGTGAAAGGTCAGAGAAGATCAAAAACTCCCAACTTCCTAACTGGTAACTTTCGGAAAACCAACAAAAGTCAGTCAAGGCAGTCATTACTGGGTCAGGACAACCGCTCTGGCAGGTGCTACAATCCCAAAAGGCACTGAGCAAGAAAACAGAGCTGTCCACAGTGTCCTCCTCTCTGTGCAGTCCCCCTTTGGGAGCTGGCCCCTGCAGCATGGGCAGAGTAGCCAGTGGGGATTTCCTTCATTGCTCCCCCAAGTGCCAGCCCTGGAATGGACTGGATTTCTTTTCTTTTTCTGAGTATACTCTATGCTGTTCCAAGCAGAAATGAGACTCTTATGAAGTCTCATGGCCACATATAACCACAGAGCAAGATTGTACAGCTGTGCAAGAGAAGCTGGACTTGAACCCAAGTCTCTTGACTCCAGAGCATTTCAACTTCCTTCATAAATATTTTTGAGCACCTATTATGTGCCAAATACTGGGTCTCAGGTAGTGTTTAAGAGATCTAAAGACACAGAATTGGCCAGCGCAGTGGCCCACACCTGTAATTCCAGCACTTTGGAAGGCTGAGGCTGGTGAATCACAAGTTCAAGAATTCAAGGCCAGCCTGGCCAACATGGTGAAACCCCATCTCTACTAAAAAAACAAAAAATACAAAAATTGGCCAAGTGTGGCGGCAGGTACCTGTAATCCCAGCTACTTGGGAGGCTGAGGCAGGAGAATTGCTTGAACCTGATAGATGTTGCAGTGAGCCAACTGCAACCACTGCATTCCAGCCTGGGTGACACAGCAAGACTCTGTCTCAAAAAAAAAACAATGTACAAAATTCACTATTTCTATCGTTAAGGAACTCTAAGTTTAGTAAAGGAAACCAGGTATGGTTTCCTTTATATGGCATGGCCACATATAACCACAGAGCAAGATTGTACAGCTGTGCAAGAGAAGCTGGACTTGAACCCAAGTCTCTTGACTCCAGAGCATTTTCATTCTACCACATTGACAGTGAAGGGTTTTCCCCCCACAACTGATGAGCTGTACAACATTGGGAAAAACACTTCTCAACCCTGGAACCCATTTTTTCTCCTCTGTGAATCAAGGGTTGGAAGGTTTCTAGATTCCCTGCCAGCCATGACATTCTGTGATTGAGGAAAGCATAAAGAGATAACCATTGCACATGTAAGGTAAGCATAAATCCCAGTTTACTCACAACAGTCCCAGTTTATTCTCAAAGCACATTGGTTTGGAAGACAAATTATATGGGTATATTCTGCATATACAATATACCAAATGAAAGAAACCATGCCAGTTAACACAAAAGCCTATAAGTGATCATGCTTAGTTAGAATATTGTTAGATTTGACCTTCTATCAGTTATCTTCTGCTGTGTAATATACCATCCCAACCTAGTGGCTTAAAACAAGGCATTTTTTAACCCATAATTCTGTGAACTGGCAATTTGGGCTGGGCTCAGCTGGAAAGTTCATCTGCTGGTCTTAGTGGTGCTCACTTAACATGGCTGGGAGCTGGTTGGCATAGGGCTGTCACAGCTTGAACAGCTTGTCTTTGCTCCACATAATCTTTTATCCCAAAGCAGGCTAGCCTGGACTTATTTACATAATGGCAAAGTGCCAAGAACATCAAGCATGAAAGCTTCAAAGCCCTCGAGATCTAGTTTGAAATTTGCACACTGTCACTTCCAATACATTCTATTGGTCAAAGCAAGTCATAAGGCCAGCACAGATTCAAATGATGGAAGAATAGACCTCACCTCTTGATGAGAGGAGGAGCAGAGTATTGTGCCCATTTTTGCAATCCACCATAGAACTCATGTACTTCCACAAGGAACTCTTGAAAAAATATCTAGGGAGAGGAAAGAGAGAGGAAAATTATTAACTAATACATATTTGCTCCACCTTAGGACCTGGTAGCTCTGCCTCTTTCCTAGATTTTGATTACCCAAGGAGACAAACCTTGATATTAATTACAAGGAAAACATGATTTTGTAATGTATACATATGGCTTCAGAGTATATAGTACTCCCACTAGCTTTTATTTCTGCTTCATTTATCTGCAAATTGTATGACAGTGTTTGTTGAACCATGCATAATTTTAACTCATATTAATTAATATGGGCTTCACACTTACAGTTTTCTTCAATTAATAGCTTTTTTTCAAAAGTAAAAGAACTAAAATAATAAACCTCAATGAGGAACAAGTCTGATGAAAATTGAAAATAATAAATAAATTAAAGACCCAAAAAGTTATCTTCTCTCATGACTAGGATAGGTACTCCTGCAATACAAGAATGCATATAATGAGATATGGTAACATACCCCATTAGAACTAGGAAGGAACCTGAGAACTCAGCTGGGTGTTTGCAATTTCTGTTATTCATTCACCAAGTATTATTGGGTGTCTATTATGTACCAAGCAAGGTCTAACAAGGATAAAGTAATTGAGATCCATAGAGGTTTGATGACTCGTTCAAGCACACCCAGCTAGAAAGAGGCAAAGGCAAGACCTAGGCCAGGTCTTCACAGTCCCTTTCACTTCCCCAAGTATCAGTTTCTTCACCTCTTAAAAAGTAAAATGAGCATAATACAGTTGGCTCTTCATATCTGCAGGGTCTGCATTCAAACAATCACAGATTGAAAATATTCAGGAAAAAAATTTTAGTACACAACAGTGAAAAAATACAGATTAAAAACAATACAATTTGACAGCTATTTACACAGCATTTATATTTTACTAGGCATCATAAATAATCTAGAGCTGCTTTAAAGTATATGGGATGACGTACAAAGGTTATAAGTAAATACTCCACCATTGGATTCGAGCATCTGCAGATTTTGGTATCCTCAAGGGTGGTGGAACCAATCACTCATGGATACCAAGGCATGGCTGTATTGTCTAATAACAAATATAATTATTATCTGAGCACTTATTATGTGCAAGTTACTTTGCTAGATATTTTATGTACATGAAGTCCTCAAAACAACTAGATGTTATTTCCCCCATTTTACAAATGAAGAAACCTAAGCTTAAAGGGATTAAATAATTTGTCTCAGGTCATATTGCTGATAATTTGTGAGCAGAGATTTTTAATACCAGTTATATTCATCCAGAGACCACACTTTTAATCTTCAGTAGGATTTCGGGGGTGGGGGACTTCATTAAATATATATCCCAGAACCTTACACAGAGTAGATGCTTAGTGAATATTTGTTGAATTTAAATCAGTGAAGATATAGCTAATTTGTACAACCAGCTAATGTCCAGCAACTTTTCCCCAGGCAAGCCAATATCACTCTGATGTACTAAAAGCTTCTAATGAGAGCATCCACTGTCAATTACATAAGTAAACCACAACATGGGAGCAACATGGCCAGCACATGGATGCCACTTGCTTATTTGCTAATTTATATGAGGTCCATCCCAGCAGATGGCAGGATGAACCCATTACTATAACCATAAATTGTCATGTTAGATCTTGTCCCCAAGAGCTATTTTCTTCCTTCCAATGACACTGATAACTAAATGACTATACAGTTGCTACTGGGCAGAGATGTCTGGAATGAGACCATGCTGTCCAAGTAAAGGGAACGGTCCAAGAAAGATGAAAGAAGTGATTACCTGGGTTGTGAGAATGGAAATGGTAGGGTAAAGTTTGACAGTTGGGAAAACAGCCCAAATGCTGATGCATGAAAGGTGGTTACTTCCAAAGCAGGAACAACATGGGAGGCTGGGTGAGGCAGATGGCCATACAGCTGGAATGCTAGTTTCTACTTCCCTGATGCTTTTTTTATTTTCTGACATTCAGAGCAGACCTAGTATAATGATCATGATCATTATGTCTGTGGCAGGGTGTATTTTAGCATTATTGGCCCCGTTTTTCTTTGGGAAAGAGTCAGTATAACCTAGATATTGGGAGTACATGCGATACAGTCAGGCAGACCTGGTTTGAATTTTATCTCTAGTTCAGGATCTGTCCAGAGTAAGTTCTCAGACTTTATCCTACCTCTAGCTTATGATGAAGATTCTGAAATTCACAAAGAAAATATATTTTTAGACTTTTTCATTGAGTCCCTAATGCACATTAGGTATGTTTCAATGCCCATTAATTACTAACTGGCTTCTTGATTAAGAATCATGAAGATCAAATACTGATTTAGAGAAGTTTTCAACTAGTATATTGATTTGAATTTAGTTCCTTTAATTCCTTGTCTGATACCTCGCTTTCTACCTTTGACTAGGAATTTTCTGTAGCTCAGTTAACTATTTTTCAGATGAGAAATAAGTTCAAATGATTTGATTCTGACTTGTGAAGTTATCTCAAAGAACAGATATGCAGAGACACAAAGTTAAAATAATAATTACACATTTAGTAAATTAGCTAACCTGGAAAATAAGGATTCTATGAAATGAGGATTAGGACATCCTGTACTTATGCCACACTTTAAAGCATGGAGAAAGTTTTTCATTCCCCTCATACATTGCCTGGAATCAAGTACTGGTTGGGGCTCACATCACACATGTAGACCCCACATGGCAGGAGGGCCCTTCTCTTTCCTGTAACAGAATTCAGCCATGGAAGATGAAACCCTCACTGCACATAGCATCCTGAAACAGTGACTGTGATCAGAGGAAAAGGTTGGAAACTTTAATAAGCTGAATTCCTTGCCTGGGAAACCTTGATCTCTTAGCACTGGCTCAGGGAATTCAGTCACCAGAATCCAGCTGATTCCCTAGCTTAAAATAAAAAATAAAAAAAAATGTGCTGGGGGATTGCTGGCAAGATGGCCAAACAGGAAAAGCTCCAGTGTGCAGCTCCCAGCAAAACTGACATGGAAGGCAGGTAATTTCTCTATTTCCAACTGAGGTACCTGGTTCATCTCATTGGGACTGGTTGAATAGTGGGTGCAGCCCAAGGAGGGTGAGCCAAAGCAGGGTGGGGCATCACCTCACCTGGGAAGCACAAGGGGTCGGGGAACTCCCTCTCCTAGCCGAGGGAATGCACTAGGGTGTGCATCCTGCACTCAGCTCAGATACTGCGCTTTTCCCACGGTCTTTGCAACCCGCAGACCAGGAGATTCCCTCTGGTACCTGCACCATCACCAGGGCCCAGGGTTTCCAGAACAAAATTAGGTGTCCATTTGGACAGACACCAAGCTAGCTACAGCAGGTTGTTTTTTCCATACCCCAGTGGCGCCTGGAATACCAGCAAGACAGAAACGTTCACTTCCCTGGAAAGGGGGCTGAAGCCAGGGAGCCAAGTGGTCCAACTTGGTGGGCCCCACCCCCCCAGAGGCCAGCAAGCTAAGATCCACTGGCTTGAAATTCTCTCAGCCAGCACAGCAGTCTCAGCTCAACCTGGGATGCACAAGCTGGGTGGGGGAAAGGGTGTCCACCATTGCTGAGGCTCCAGTAAGTGGTTTCAACCTTACAATGTAAGCAAAGCCTCAGGGAAGTCCTAACTGGGTAGATCCTACCACAGCTCAGCAAGGCCACTGCAGACAGACTGACTCACTAGATTCCAGGTCATCTCTTAAAAAAAGGCAGCAGCCGGTTAGGGACTTAAAAATAAAGCCCCCACCTTCCTGGGACAGAGCACCTGGAAAAAGAGGCAATTGTGGGCACAGCTTCAGCAGACCTAAACATCCCTGCCTTGCAGCTCTGAAGGGAGCAACAGATCTCCCATGGCACTCGAACTCTGATAAGGGACAGACTGCCTCTTCAAGTGGATCCCTGACCCCCATGTATCCTGACTGGGAGACACATCCCAGTAGGGGCTAACGGACAACTCATACAGGAGAACTCTGACAGGCATCTGGTGGGTACCCCTCTGATACCCCTTCCTACCAGAGGAAGGAACAGGTAGCAATATTTGCTGTTCTGCAGCTTCCACCAGTGATACCCAGGCAAGCAGGGTTTCTAGTGCACCTCCAGCAAACTCCAGCAGACCTTCAGCAGAGAGGCCTGACTGTTGAAAGGAAAACTAACAAACAGAAAGGAATAGCTTCAGCATCAACAAAAAGGATATCCACCCACAGACCCCATGCAAGCGTCACTGACTTCAGAAACCAAAAGTAGATAAATCCACAAAGATGGGGAGAAATCAGCACAAAAATCCTGAAAATTCTAAAAACCAGAACGCCTCTTCTCCTCTAAGGGATAACAACTCCTCTCCATCAAGGGAGCAACATTGGACAAGAATGAATTTGATGAAGTGACAGAAGCAGGCTTCAGAAAGTGGGTAATAACAAAGTTTTCCAAGCTAAAGGAGTATGTTCTAACCCAATACAAGAAAGCTGAGAACCTTGAACAAAGGTTAGACAAAATGCTAACTAGAATAACCAGTTGAGAGAAGAACATAAATGACCTGTTGGAGCTGAAAAACACAGCATGAGAACTTCATGAAGCATACAAAAGTTTCAATAGCTGAATCGATTAAGCAGAAGAAAGAATATCAGAGATTGAAGATCAACTCAATGAAATAAAATGAGAAGACAAGAGTAGAGAAAAAAGAGTGAAAAGAAATGAACAAAGCCTCCAAGAAATGAGATTATGTGAGAAGACCAAATCTACATTTGATTGGTGTACCCGAAAGTGTCGGGGAGAATGAAACCAAAAGTTGGAAAACACTCTTCAGCAAATTATCCAGGAGAATTTCGCCAACCTAGCAAGGTAGGCCAACATTCAAATTCAGGAAATACAGAGACTACCACAAAGATACTCCTCAAGAATAGCATCCCCAAGACACATAATCATCTGATTCACCAGGGTTGAAATGAAGGAAAAAATGTAAAGGGCAGCCAGAGAGAAAGGTGAGGTTACCTACAAAGGGAAGCCCATCAGACTCACAGTGGATCTCTCAGAAGAAACTTTACAAGCTAGAAGAGAGTGGGGGTCAATATTCAACATTCTTAAAGAATTTTCAGCCCAGCATTTCATATCCAGCAAAACTTCATAAGCAAAGGAGAAGTAAAATCTTTTACAGACAAGCAAATTCTGAGCAATTTTGTCACCACCAAGCCTTCCTTACAAGCTCTCCTGAAGGAAGCATTAAACATGGAAAAGAACAACCGGCACTAGCCGGTTGCAAAAAAAAAAAAAAAAAGTACCAAATTATAAAGACCATCGATGCTATGAATAAACTACCTCAACTAACGAGCAAAATAACCAGCTAGCATCATAATGGCAGGATCAAATTCACACATAACCATATTAACCTTAAATGTAAATGGGTTAAATGCCCCAATAAAAAGACACAGACTGGCAAATTGGATAAAGAGTCAAGACGCATCGGTGTGCTATATTCAAGAGACCCATCTCATGTGCAAAGACACACATAG